TATGTTTTAATATTTTCCTTTTTATAGGGGCGATAGAATCTAATGTTGATCGTAGTGAGCCTGCAGCACTATTAACAAGATTATCAATTTCGGAGGGACTAAAGTTGTTATAGGACTGTTATATTGAGACATGGCATTGAATTAAACATTGATGGAATCTCCTCCTTAAATTTAGCTACAGCACTGTCAGATGGACATCTGCTGTAGGAAGTTTGGCCTAATGGCTTATAATCTAGTAATAGAAATTCAAAAGTTATTAAATAATGGTCAGATAGAAAAGGATTTTGTGGGAAGACTTTTAAATGTTCAATATCAATGCCATATGATAGAATGAGGTCAAGAGTGTGATTAAAACAATGAGTTGGTTCATTTACACTCTGACAGAAGCCCATTGAGTCTATTAATGAGATAAATGCGTTACTAAGGCTGTCATTGTCAACATCCACATGAATATTAAAATCACCTACAATAATTACTGATTTAAATCTGATTTAAGGACTATACTTGATAATAACTCTGAGAATTCAGATATAAAATCAGAGTACGGTTCAGGAGCTCGGTACACTATAACAAACAGAACTGGCTGCAGTGTTTTCCAGGTTGGGTAAGAAAGACTAAGAACAAGACTTTCAAATGAATTATAATTTAGTTTTGGTTAAGGGTCAATTAAAATGCTTGAATCATATATGGCTGCTACTCCACCTCCTCGGCCGGTGCCTATTGGGAATGATGTATATTAAAGAGTATTAATATGACGTGGATTCATTTAGGCTAATGAATGTCCTTGTGGGACAACCAGGTCTCAGTAAGACAAAATAAATCAATATTATAATCTGATATTAATTAATTCACTAAAACAGCTGTAGAAGACCGAGACCTGATATTTAACAGTCCACATTCCATTCTTTTATTTTGTGCTACTGAGGAGTTGGTTTTAATTTTTATTAGGTTTTTATTAGTGCTGTCAGTTAAACGTGTTATTAACGGTGTTAACGCAAACCCATTTTAACGATGTAAATTTTTTTATCACGAGATTAACGTTTGTTTAACTTTGTAGTTTTTTTCACACGCTGTTGCAACAACTAGTAACGTAAAAACTACAACACCACACCGGATCTAGCTAGACCAGAAACAAAACAACAGGCACACCGCACACACTTGTTTAAGAGTAGTAGACGTTACGTTTTGAGTGGGTGGTGAGCGTGAGATGCCAAAATGGATGCCAATAATATTCTGAATGGAAAGTTTACTTTTAAAAAGTTGCCAAATGGTTCCATTGACAAGACCAAAGTGATCTGTGTGTTTTGTCGTTGTGAACTGAGCTATCATCGCAGCACGTCTATTCTGAAATACCACTTGATGGCCAAGCACACAGCTGATGCGAATTCTCCGCTCCCTCGTCAAAGCCAGGCGACAATGGATGATTTTTCAATACAAACATTTGCTCCAAGCAAGCCGATCCACTTTTCCATATTGACAAGAGCATTAAAATGAGAAAAAATAATGGGACAAAAAGAAATCAAGGGACATTTAGAATAGATAAAAATGTGCGATTAATTGCGATTAATTGCGAGTTAACTATGACATTAATGCGATTAAACGCGATTAAATATTTTAATCGTTTGAAAGCACTAGTTTTTATGTTTAATTCCTCTTGTTTTTATTTCTTTAAATAATTTAGGTGGTCGGGGGACAGGCACAGTCTCTATGGGGTTTTGGGTGGGTGACTGTTCTAATGGAAGCGCAGATAATTGTGTAAGACAGCAGCTATGCTTCCAGGTCCCAACTGTGGATTGTCAGGTTTTAGAAATAAACTTGGTCATATTCCTAGGTAAGAGGGCCACTCCATCAAAAGTGGGATGGATGCCGTCTCTCCTAATCAGACCAGGTTTTCCCCAAAAAGGCTTCCAGTTATCAATGAAGCCTACATCGTTTTCTGGACACCACCTCGACAGCCAGCGGTGGAATGACGACATGCAGCTATACATGTCATCACTGGTCACATTGGACAGGGGTCCAGCGAAAACTACGGAAAACTCCACATTGATTTTAGTGACCTCAGATATGCATAATCGGGTGTCATTACCGCCGACGTGAATAACTATCTTACTATATTTACGCTTATTTTTAGCCAGCAGTTTTAAATAGGATTCAGTGTCGCCCGCTCTGGCCCCAGGGATACATTTAACTATGGCCACTGGCTTCGCTAACTTCACGTTTCTGACTATGGAGCTGCCAATAACCAGAGTTGTTTCCTCAGCGGGTGTGTCGCTGAGTGGGGAAAATGTATTAGAAACATGAACCCACATAATGCAGACCTCCAGGACTGCCTTTTTTCATTTAAGCAATATTACAAATATTAGACACATCCTGTCACAGACGGATGCAGAAAAACTAAACCATGCATTTGTTACTTCTAGGCTGGATTACTGCAATTCCTTATTATCAGGTTGCCCCAATAGGTCCATTAAGACACTACAATTAATTCAGAACGTTGCAGCACAAGTACTGACAGGAACTAGGAAAAAAGATCACAGTACCCTATTACCCCACTAGAACACTGCGCTCTCTGAATGCTGGGCTACTTGTGGTTCCTATAGTCTCTAAAAGTAGAACAGGAGCCAGAGCCTTCAGCTACCAAGCTCCTCTCCTGTGGAACCAGCTTCCAGTTTTGGTTCGGGAGGCAGACACCCTCTCCACATTCAAGAGTAGGCTTAAGATGTTCCTCTTTGATAACGTTTATAGTTAGAGCTGGCTCAGGTGAGTCCTGAACCATCCCTTAGTTATGCTGCTCTAGGCCTAGACTAACCCCAAACCCATCCGTGACTGTACTGACCCTCCAAAATTCAAATCACTGACAAAAGCACACCTTTTCAAAATGGCTTTTAAAATCTACCAGTCAATGTGTTTTAATGTAGAATGTACTGTTTATATTGTTTACGATTATGTTCTTGTATTCTTCATATAATACATGTCGAGCATAGAAAACCTTTCTAAAAATTAAATAATTTCGCAAAACTCATTCACCTGTACCATTTTAATGCATGTTTTTTCCCCTCTAATTACTTAACTTACCACTTAAACTTCCTTAAATCGTTTACAGACAAGCGTTCAAAATTTTTACCAAAACAACCCGCCGGTCCACATTACTGCTGTTCTTGCATCCCTTCCTTCCGGTAAAATTCAACTATAAGTTCTTATTGATTACCTATAAGGGTTATGAGCTCCCCCATTACATTTCAGATCTCCCTTGTTCCTCATTCCACTCATCGGCCATTTCGGTCCTCATCTTGACTGCCCAATTGTGCCAATACTGTTGTTGCTGTGGACCTGTCTTAACAAAAACCTAAAAGTCTGTCTAGTCTGTCGCTTGTTTTTTCCCGGACCCCCAAGGCTGCGTTCTCTCTCCTCTGTCTTCTCCCTGTACACAACACTGCCCTCCAGTCACCAGTCCATCAGACTCCTAAGGTCGCGGATGACAGGGTTTGCGGTAGAGAAATCCGCCACCAAGGAATTGACCATCTGGTGACCTGGTGTAGCCAGACCAACCTGGAGCTAGACCTCTGTCAACAGTGGAGATGGTTGTGCACTTTAGAAAGAACTCAGGCCCACCCGCCTACCTTTTCCCCCAGTTGCCCTTGTCGCCAAGTGCTTGCTACATGGTGGTACTGATTGGGTCTCTGTAATTCAATGTTAAAGAGGATTGGTGTCTAGACCTGCCTCATCATTTCAGAAAAGTGTCCTGCAGATAACTTCTGTTATGAAGGTTAGGCTGCTATACAAATAAAATCTGAATCTGAATCACCATTAAGAAAAACTTGAATTAATAAACCCACCCTGTATAATGTAAACCCCACGAACACTCAACCACCCTGTATATATGCATTACATTAATGCACTCCCGTTTCCAGTACAGTTTTCTTATCTTTATTTATTTATATTTTAAAAGTACTTTATTTTTGTGTGATTTTTATGTTTTATGCACCAATTCACCAAGACAAATTCCTTGTAAATGGACCTGTACTTGTATAACGCCTTTCTAGTCTTCCGACCACTCAAAGCGCTTTTACACTACATGGCACATTTGCGCTTTCACACACATTCACTCAGTGATGGCAAAGCCCATCGAATCAAAGCCCATCGAATCATACACATTCACACACCAATGCACAGCATCGGGAGCAATTCGGGGTTCAGTATCTTGCTCAAGGATACTTCGACATGTAGCACCAGGAGCTGAGGATCGAACCAACAACCTTCCGACTAGGGGACGACCCGCTCTACCTCTGAGCCACAGCCGCCCCTGTATGTGTAAAAACTTACTTGGCAATAAATCTAATTCTGATTCTGTTTCTGATTGTGCATTTGTGGTTGGTGTCTGAAATGGCTGCTGACTCAACTAACAGCACAGGTGTGACAGTAAAGTTTGTTAATTGGATTATTTCCTGAAGGAGACTTTAGTTTCTCCCCGTGGGTGTTAGGTGATTGGTAGGAAGCAGAGCGTAACACAGTGAAAGGAGGATTAAACACAAAGTTTCTCCATATTTACTGTAATGGATTATCTGTGGAAGTTGATTTCATAGTAAAGACTGATACAAGACCAAAAAAAAAGTGTTCTGAACTGCATTTATTCACAATAAACTTTAAGTTTTCATTGTTAGATATTTGTTACTATTTGAAGCACGTCATAAATTAGATCGAATGACTTCTCATCTTAATCCATTCAGTGGTGTCTGGGATAATCATGTGCGTTGGACAGATCAACGGCGAAACAAATTAACAAGCAAATTAATGGACCATCAATTAGACCAATATATTACATAATATTACATCACTTAATTTACTCTAGAACAAGCAACACAGATACACAACAATAAAGACATCTGATGATGAACAGAAATGATGAAAGCCAGACAAAGGGAGCGAAGAGAGAAGGAATGACAAAAATAAACCCAAGGATTTTTGAGCTCTCTCAGCTAAAGCGCTGCAGACTGTCTCACCTGTGGGGCTCTCTAGTCCACCAGCTGCTGTGTCTCCTCCTCCCCCAGTGGTTGCAGTAGCAGGAGCAGTGGCGTTAGTGGTTGTGGTGCTGCCTGTGTACTTCTTACGGCCGCTGTACTCTGTGCTGCTCTCGTCGTCCCGGAGTGTGGTGGCTCCTGATTGGATGCCAGAGTCTGAGGCGTAGTAGGTCTGCTGCCACTCGGCCACTTTCACCACACTGTCCGCCTCACTCACTGCAGGGAACAACACAAGGCTGACATCAGATACTAGTAACACTGCTACTATGACTACTACTTTCATTATAACTGAAGGAACCCTGTCGCTTCAAAATGGTGTCACTTCTGGACGTGCCTGTCATCAAGGTCAGGTGATGTAGTATAAAGAGCAAGAAAGTCTGCATATGGAGGTAGTGGGGAGGATGGGTGGCTCAAACAAACATAGGCTATAAATGTAATGTAATGCTATCTTTTTAACTCGAGATTTGAACCGGATGAAGGATTTTAGCCATCGGACATCTGGATCTTAAGTTATCAGAGAAACAAGCTGAGCTAACATTAGCAGCAGCTCAGCTCGCAGCTGTTGTTACTGTTAATACATTATTGTGAGAACCCCCCTAGTGGCAGAAATTACATATTGTACGTTTAACTGTGTGAAATCAAAAGTAAACAATTTTAAAAGTTACCCTACAAAGAACATATCAGTATGTCGACTTGAGGGAAGGTCAAAGTTCACATCTGTTTTCACCCCTATTGTGAATAATCCTGATTTCCAGCCTGGGATGTTTGATATTGGTTTTAAACAGTAGGGGGATAATGGTTTTCATAGACTGAGGGACTTACTCTCTGATAATGTGGTTATGATATTTGAACAAATGATAGAGAAATATTCTGTCCCCAGACACGACTTCTTTCGTTATTTGCAGATAAGGCATTATATCTTGCACAGTACTACTTTAATTGAGATCCATGAAAGCTCCCCTGTTGAGAAATTATTATTTCTAACAGATAGAGAGGTATCTGTGAGTCTATTCTATGTATTTCACACCCCCTGTTTAAAGGCTTAAAGGCACATGGGAAAAGGAGCTAAACATCACAATTGATGATGAAGAGTGGAAGGATGTCTGGAGACATGCTTAATCAATTTCAGTCTGCAATCATACCAAAGCAATACAGTTAAAGATTATACATAGAATGCACATATCCCCCAACCGCAGGCATCACTTCAATCCTACTCTCTCACCCATGTGCCTTAAATGCAAGATATAAATTGGTACCCTAACTCATTGTTTTTGGTCATGTTTGAAATTGCAAATGTATTGGTCTAATGTGTTCTCTGAAATAGAAAAGATATTGGGCTTAGAACTGGAGATGGACCCTGTGTCTCTCCTACTGGGCCTCCCAAGCCGACGCTTAACATCCAAACATAATAAGAGGTTGTATTGTATTCTTACATATGCAGCGAGGAAGAATATTTTATTGCAGTGGATTAATGAAAAGGTACCAACTGTTAAAGGCTAGCAAAGAGGGGTGTTTGATCTAGTGCCATTAGAGTGTGGGAACCCTATTTGAACTATGTAGAGCCTGATGTCTCTAATATCATTCTGCAGGGATTTTCTTGACTGCTCATACCGCACATTATTACTGTAAGTATTATTTATATGGATCTGAGCTGGTGTTCTGGCATTCTGTTTTTTTTTTTTTTTTTTTTTTTTGATTTGTTTGTCTTGTTTTGTTTACTTGTTTGTTTGTTTTGCTTTTTATTTCTGTGAACCATATTCTGTAACCATCCTTTACTTGTAAAAGTGAAAAGTTAATAAAAATAATAAATGATAAAATAATAAAAAAACCTACAAAAAACATGACATAATTTATGATATTCTACTAATCCTAACTAAGTAGTCTTTGTACCTAAACCTAACCACATAAGCTTTATTTTGAAAGTCTAACCAGACTTCAGTGAGGTGCGTGACACCTTTCTGATGTTTTTGATAATCCCTGATGTGACTGCAGAGAGCTCAATTAGTTCAAAATGTTTTAAATTTGAGGAGCACATTGGGACAGAGTGGTTTAGTATTGTGCTTTGAGAATGAATGAGCTCTTCTGAGAGACTGGGATGAGATTGTGGAGGACTTTGCACTGCTCAAAGCTCTGAGAATGCTGTTCAGACAGTCGATACAATGGACTGTAGTGACTCTCCCCAGATCAGTAGGCTTTTGCTTTTATATGTGTTTTTTGTGAGCTGTTTATATTATCTATGCATCTCTGTATTATTTAATTTTGTGATGCTTTATTCTGCAAGTGGCAGGTTGCAGCTTAAATTTGCTTGAGGCACCTGCATGTATTTGGTCCAGCTGTGTTTAATTATTGTCATTTTTGTTTAATTTACTAAGTTTTCTCAACTTTTCTGGTTAATTTTAGTTAAGCTACAATAAGGAAGAAGAATCAGTTGTATACATGGCTGCAAATGTCCATCTATAGAAAGGAAATGTATTGTTGGTTTGTATGTAAGGGCCTGGTTGTGTGGTTCACACCTGGGGATGTTGTTCCACTAGTCTGTGTACACAGACATCTTAATGCACTTGTAGCCTAAAGGTGTTTAAATTTAATTTAATAGTTCATTATGGTAAATGGTGAATGGACTGTACTTATATAGTCTTTTGACCACTCAATGCGCTGAACACTACATGCCATGCCATACAATGCCCATTCATACACACTGTGTGCAGTGGCTGCCATACAAGGTGCCAACCGTCACCAGAACGGAACTAATCATTCACACACACTCATACACCGATGCACAGCATCAGGAGCAATTCTGGGTTCAGTGTCTTGCTCAAGGACACTTCAACATGCAGTGAGACGAGCCAGGAATCGAACCGCCAACCTTCAGATTAGTTGACGACCGTCACCTCCCTTTTTTCCCAGAAAACACTGTTATCTGCTTCCTTAATTAAAGCATTTCCTGTAAAAACAGGCAGCGAGGGAGGGGCAGATATTGATTGCCTTTGTGTGTTTTGTCTCCCACTGCTTTGCAGCTAGTGTCTGCTGCTAGTGAGCTAGCATCAGTGTCCACCTTCCAGTGAACACAGCTGGACTATCTTTTATATGTTTGACTAATGGCAGATACAGTTAGCAGCACTTAATTAGTGGTTAGTGGTCAAGAAAGCATACTGTTTTTCAGGAAAAGACAAACTGTAAAATATCATTAAGAATGTTTTGTTATTGGCCAGATACAGACCTATAGATGACGGTGATGAAGACATATGTGATATTAAAAAAAACGTAAAAACGTAAACATCAATTTTGAAGTTTGAATTTGAATGTGTACATTTTAACAGACCTATTTTTTTTTTTTACTTTATTCTGAGTACATTTTCACACAATTTATTTTACTTATATATACTATAACTCTTTCCTGCTACTACTGCTACCACTATTTCTACTACTACCAATACTAACACCACCAGGGCTACTACTAGGTTATGCCTACTTGCTACTACCACTACTTCTGCTACTGTACTAGTATTATAACTTCTACGACTGCTGCTGCTACTACCACGACTACTACTGATGCTACCTCTACAACTCCCAGTACTGCTGCGACTTGTAGTATAATTAATGTTACTACTGCTTATACTAGGCATGAAAACGGGTCAGGGGTGAGAAAGATGAGAAGGATATTACCCTGGGGGGTCCGGGGGCATGCTCCCCTGGAAGAACATTTTGAATATTCCATATTTTAAAAGCATCAATCTGATACATTTTGAGATGCATTTTTTGCCAACCTGGGGAGAGCTGGAGAAACTTAACTTCAGCCATGAGTCAAAAATATTACGGCCTCCTTCCTAAGTATTATGCAAGCCATTTCATGCCAGCCTGTCACTGGGTCTAACATTTACAGTATATGAGGCACAATGTAGTAAGGGCACCACAAATCCAATCCAATCCAACTTTATTTGTTAAGCACTTTAAAAACAAACAGAGTTGACCAAAGTGCTGTACAGGAGAATAAATAAGACATCATAAATGTAAACAGTGATGGTGATGATGAAGACCACTGTGATGAATATAGACAGTGATGGCGACAACACTGGAAAGCCACCGTGGCAGATAACATGGACGAAGTCCGACGGCGACAAGCTCAATGTCCGGGCTGCAGACACGCTCTTTCACACAGACGCGCGTTTATGAGCACGGACAGTCCCCCTCCTTTCTTCATGCCGGTCGCGGTGGTGTCCCTGTCGGCTCGAACCGTCTGGAAGCCGGGAATGGTGACGTTGGAGTCCGGTATCTTCTCGTGTAGCCACGTTTGTAGGGTTTAAACCTCCTCTTCTTCATCCTCCGTTTAACCCCCGCTCTGCAGCCTCGCCGTCTCCTCAGCTCCTCCGGTATGGAGGGTCTCTCTCCAGTCAGGATGCTCAGGGTACCTCAGGGCGATCATCTGGTCGCGGGTGTAAACAATGCGACTCCCCGTCGCCATGGAGACCCGTGCAAACAAAAATAAAAAGTGCTTAAAAACGCCAAAAAAGTATTTAGGCGACGTGAACAAAGTAGTAAGAAAGTAAGAAAACAGTTAAAAATAGCAAAAACACACTGACAACACACTAAAACTACAACAATGATAGCTGCCACGACAGGCTGCCGTTGTCGCCGGCGCCATTCCTTGGCTTAATGCATAACCCCCACAAGAGATGGTGGACATGGTGTAACTTAACTACTCTTCCATCATGATTGACAGCCAATACAATGTTATGTAATTCAGATTTGAATACATTTTATTATTTCTTTTTTGTGATTTACCATTAGTTAAGCTAGCAGCTAACTTTAATAACAATATCTAGCTAATGTTAGGCTAACGTTAATGGTAGCGTTAGCTAATAATTTTCCACTGGAGCTTTAGCTGGCTAACGTTGCGTTCTCTCCTGCTGTGTTCAATGACTCAGTTCATCAAGTTGTAGCTAACGTTAGCTAAGCCTATGTCAACAGAGCCCCTGGGTAACTTAGATATACCAGAAAATATTAAAACACGAGCGAAGCAAGCTGCTTGTAAACCAATCAGGTAATGGTATTCCCCGACCTTCCCAGAGAAAGAAACTGGTGATGCAAGACCCTTCGCGCTAATATTTCCATGCACTCGCGCTCCCTTCTGGCACGCGCACCTGTTCGCAGTTCACTGAATCTCTGGTACCTACACCCCCCGCCCGTACCTACACCCCCCAAACATTTTCTCATCG